TCCCTCCAACATGACTGGGATCTCTTGGGCTCTGTCTCCCTATCTCCCCTTTCAGAAGCCCTCTCATCTCCTCCTAAGTGTCTTAGGCTTGACACAAACTCCCTTGGTTTGATTGTGGTATGCCACCTATGAGGAGCAGCTAAAGAGGGAAGAGTAAGAGGAAAAGAAGAGGGAGAAGGAAACAAAGACAGTAGAAGCAGAAGTGTGGGTGAGAGCTAGGAAGAGGGAGGGAAGGACAATAGGCACTGATGCTCACAGCCCCTCCCTCCCACAGCTGAGGGCTCTGCCCTCTCAGAGAGGCCATGTCTGAAGGGGAGAGCAAGGACAGCTCAGGCAGCGAGTGCCCAGTGTGCTACGAGAAGTTTCGGGATCTGGAGGGTGCCAGCCGGACACTGAGCTGTGGTCATGTGTTCTGCCACGACTGCCTTGTCAAGTACCTGCTCTCCACTCGAGTGGATGGGCAGGTCCAGAGGACCATCGTCTGCCCCATCTGCCGCTACGTCACCTTCCTCAGCAAGAAAAGCTCCCGCTGGCCCTCCATGCTGGACAAGAGCTCCCAGACCTTGGCTGTGCCCGTAGGCCTGCCTTCTGTGCTACCACCAGACACTCTTGGCCACACAAACCCCCTGGCCATCTCCCAGCCTGTCTGGAGGCCATTTCCAAGCCAAGTGAGGCCACCAGGAAGCCCAAGTCAGAGCACTCAGCTCCCCTTGGACCTGCTGCCCAGCCTACCCCGGGATCCCCAAATTTTCATCATCAGTCGCCACGGGATGCCCCTGGGGGAGCAGGACAGTGTCCTGCCACGACGCAGCCTAGCAGAGCTCTCAGAGGCCTCTCCCGCCCCCAGCTCAACGCGGTCATTCTGCTGTCGGTCACGAGCCCTACTACTCATCACATTCATTGCCATAGTGGCAGTGGTGGCTGCCATCTTGCCCTGGGTCCTGCTGGTGAGGAAGCAGGCATGAGTGATGGCACCTGAAGGGGGAGCCAAGAGAGGCCCAGCCTGAGAGCTGCTCTGGGAGCTGCCTTGTGGAGCAGGGCTGGCCATGGCTCAGCAGGGAGCAGAGGCCCCCAGTGCAGACCTGGTCCAACCAAGCTCTGTGGGGTGGGCAGGCAGAGGGAGGACCTGGGACAAAGATGGGTAGTTAGTGTGGTGCTGGATTAGAGAGAGGTATAGTGGCATTCTCTTCACCTCCAGCAACTCACTGCCAGTAGGGGGCCTAGGTAAGACAGGGTTGTTGGGAGCTAGTGATCTCTGAGGAAGTAGAGCTGAGCCTAGAAGCTGAGCCCTGGATTGAAATGAAAACCTCAGGTCCTCGCCAATCAAAAATGGGTGGATAAAAACCCTTCCCCAAAACCCACAACTGTGGCCCTGAGAGTATCCTCAGCAGATACTTCTCCCTTCCTCTAGATGCAAGCAACCAAAACAGAGTAGAAAGATGGGTGGTAACCACCTTCCTGTGGTATCACCAGCCCTGAAGTGAAGACTTTCCTGCCAGGTATACTCCTGGAGGCCAGGTAGACCTCCCTAATGATAAGGAAGCTCTGCTTGAATATGACCTGTTGGGTGGTGCCTAATAGCAGCACTCCTCCAGGCCACAATTCCCACCCAGAATTCTCTAGTTTGCTCTCAGGAACAAGCAGAAGGGGTAGCACAAGGCCAAAAGCAAATTGTGTTTCTCAGAATCTCAGTAACCATCCACAACCCTCCTGGCTGGGCTCTCCTTCACACCTCTAAGTCCTCCTTCCGGCCTCCTAATGGCCAGCCTAGAAGGTCTTCTTTGAAGGAGAAGTTGGTCTCAGTGACTGTGGCCCAGGATTTCTGGGGGAAGTAACAGAAAAGGGTCTTCCTAGGAGCTGAGACCACATCAGGAAACAGAAGTGTTGATTTAGGCTGAAGCCAGCCATATGGCCCAAAATTGGGAGCCAGAGGTCTCCCAAGTCCCCTGGGCTGAGAAGCGGTCCAAATTTTGAGTCCTAGGGCCACTTCTCGGAAGGAAGGTTGGGCAATCTACTTCCGTAGTGATACAGCCTTGGAAACCCAAGGAGGGGTCACTATGAGTCAGGTTGACTGGATGGCAGTAACAACAACAACAACAACAGAGTTCTCAAGGGTAAACTGGAAGCCAGGGAGTGGAGGGGAAGCCTGAGAGCTGACACTTGAGTCAGCAGAGAACTATGTGGGCATATTAACCCCTAGTGTCTCCTGCCTCCTTCCCAGCCCAAGTCATCCTCCTCATGACCCAACCATTCATTAGAGGCCATACCAGCTGGGCCAGTTTCTGAAGTGGATTCCCAAGTTGGGTTGGGTGTGGAAGGGTGGGGAAGAAAACAGATGTGCTTGTAAGGGACACTACTATCTCAATGGATGCTGAAACCCAGGTGCATTTGGCTGCTCACCAAGGCCTGGTCACCTGAAGACCCCACCCTGGATTGTGTTGGGGGTGTTTGATGAAGACCACCATAAAAGCCTCAGCTTGGGTCTTGCCTGAAGAGCAAGTCATTCAGGAATAGCTATTTGCTATTTATTGAGGCCTATAAATCAACCCTATAAGATTAAAAATTATTCTCTCAATAGGTCCTTGTTCACACCCCAGGTATGCCAACAGCTGAGGCCTCTGCAACCTATAATTCTCTCTGCAAAGTTTGCTCTCTGTGGGGTAAGAATTAGTGCACTACCTCTTATCTGGTTCCCAAATACCTGCGTTGTTGCTGTTGTTAGTTTCCGTTGACTTCAACTCACATGTGCCAGGGTAGAACTGTGCTCCAAAGGGTCAGCAAGGATGTGGCCTCGTGGAAGTAGATGGCCGGACCTGGGGGCTGTATTCTGAGGCATCTCTGAGTGAGTTTGAGCAACTAACCTTTTGACTAATAGTCAAAAGCTTAACCATTTGCCACCTAGGAACTCCTGTCATGGAGCCCATTTGGGGACCATTAGACAATGGAATCTCCACACAGGAGCTATTTAGGACATAGTGACAGCTAATACAGACTTCTTTGTGCTCTTTACATGACTGAAAGAGAGCAGAGGGTGCTATTGGGTGGACACACACACACACACACACACACACATATATATATATATAAAATAGGAATTAAAAAAAATGTCAATTTTCCAAAACTCTGAGTTTGTTTTAACCTCAGTCAAGCTGCCTCTTAAACAGTGTCATGAATTTCTGGGGGCCTGATTTTAATCTTTTCAGATTGCGTTGTATTTGCCAAAAATGTATTTCAGAATATCTCCGATGTTTTCATATTGTTCTGCAGTGACTTGTGGCACCTATTTCATTTTCAAAGAATATCAGGAGTTATTTTTTAAATAAAGGTATATATTTTCTCAAAGATTCTAGAGACTCTGCAATATGTGTGGGAAGCTCTTAGCTTGGGCTTTTAAGATAGTTTATTTTAAATGAAAAAGATGGTTCAAAAATAAAAATGGCTATAAGCATTTATTCAGTCACACTTGTGAAAGAAACACAAATTGAAATTCTGCCGACATACATTTAACACCTGTTAGATTGTCGGACCCTGCCGGCAAGGCGGAAGGGGAGCAGGTGAGTTGCACGTGGGAATTTATATTAGTAAAACCCCGATGAAGGAGAATTTGACAATATCTAGCAAAAATTTTACATTGACCCAGCAATTCCTATTCTAAAAATTTATCCCTAGAGAGTATCCATTTTATTCTAGAATGCATCCATATATACTTGCATATATGGGCAGTGACATATGTACAACGTTATGTAACTGCAGCAATATTTATAATAACAAGACTGGAAAAGTTCTAAACACCAATCAATAGGGGATTGGTTTGCTATATAACTTAAGGTACATGGAATATTATGCATCTGGAAAAAGAACAAAGATGAACTGGCAGGGAAAGATCCCCAAGATAAAATGGCAAATGGGAAAAAGTAAGGTGTAAAACACTAGGTATTGGATGATACAATTTGTGCAGAAAAGGGGAGAACAAGAATTTACTCATATTTGCTTATATATACATGAAGAAATTGGGAAGACATACACACACACACGCACAAACAGTAATGATTAGCTGTGGAAGGAAATGAAAAAATGAGGGTATATAAGAAGGAGAATTTTCACTTTACATTTTATAGTTTTGGATGTTCGAACCAAGTAAACATATTACTTATTCCAAAATTAAATTTAAAGTTATTTTAGAAGCCAAAGACATTTTCACTGCACACACCTGTTGCTTGGGGAGGAGACAGCCCCAGAAACGTACAGGAGCTGCCAAGTCACTCCATGTGGTTCAAGAGTGTCAGCTACTGGCTCAGTGGTGCTGCTTTGTTTGGTTAGAGGTATGTCACTATACGCAGGCACCCCAGGAAGGCAGGTAGAAATTGTAATATTCTCAGTGTTCCTAAGTTCCTTTAGATTTCTTTGAATCCCATCATTTAAGGTACTTGTTTTGATTCCTCTTTCTGTACCTTTCCTTTTCTTTCTCAAATAAAATCTTTTGCTTTAAGTAACCTCCCTAGTGTCAGTGAACTACAGGAAGATGACACTGAATAGATGGATGGATGGGTGCGTGGGTGGGTGGGTGGATGGATGGAAGGATGCCGTTAAACAAGAGTCTTGTTGCTTTTCTCTTCCATCTCTTGTCCAGACACACACCTCCCACCATCACAATAAATTTTACCTCTAATGCTCACACAGACTAGGCCTACCAAGCAAAGGAGCCCGTAACACTGGTGGCTGGGCCCTGGGTCAAGGTTGCCAAGAGCCCGACCACGCACATTAGTGAATCCTCTGTGTCCCTCAGAAATACGTCCATGACCTACGTCTGCCCTCACCGAACCCTTCAGGTGATACAGACCATTTCTGCTGCCATTTTCCATTCTTCCTTTCTTCCTTTGGACCCCTTTTGCACAGGGCACTAAATAAACAACCTGGCCTCATCTGCACAACCCCTCACCTTCTCTTCATCCCACTTACCCAGTACTTATTGTTAACTCCATAACTAATGCTCAGCACAAACTACTTGTAGTTCTCCACAAGCAGTGCTGGCACAGGCTTCTGGGCCTTTGCTTGTTCAGTCCCTCTGCCTAGAACATATTTCTGCCCCAAGAACCAAGGAAAACTCCTAACTTTCCAGAAACAGTTCTCAAGGGTTACCAATGAAGACTTCCCCATAAACCTCCCTGCTCCCTCCCTCCCTCAGGTAGAACTGACCACTCCCAAGTAGTGCCCCTATGACTATCATCTCTCCAGGGCACTTTATCCCTGCGTCTACTCCTCCTAGACAATATGCTCCTTCAAGGGAGGCTAGACCTTCCAGATCTTGGTATCACCAGTCCCTGACAGAATTTAGTAACTAGAAAGAGCTCGATAAATATATGTAGAATGAATGAATGAACAAATAAACGTGACAATCTGGTGTCATGAGAGAGGCTTTATGCAAGGGACTTTAGACACACACCAGCTTCAAAATGACCCCAAAGAGTCAATTTAAAAGAATCTTTTAAAAGTCAAGTTAAATAGCAAAAGACAAAATAAATAAATGGAACCTCACAAAAATGAAAAATTTTTGTTCATTAAAGACTTTACCAAGAAAGTGAAAAGACAAGCTACCAACTGGGAGAATATTTTCATAAAATGTATATATCCAACAAGAATCTAATAACCAAAATATATATAAAACTTCAACCATTTAAAAACAAAAAGATAACTCAATGTGGTACAGTGAATTACTTAATACGGCCCATCTACCCAGAGTCCTCCATTTTGTGATGTATTGTAAATCCTAGTCTCTATGCCTGTGGTTATGTGCCATTTTGGGGTGAGGTGTCTATTATGTTAATGAAGCAGGATTGAAGTGGGATGTATCTTGAGTCAAGCCTCACTAGAGGGTGTGACTCATTAGTTCCTTGAAGGTATGGTTACATGCAATGTATATGAATGCTCTGGCAAAGTTCCCTCTCTGGCTCTGGGTCCTGTATGT